CCCTCCTGGATCATGGATTAGGCACAAACCACACCTAAACTGTTGAAATAGGAGCGGCGGGGCTGCGTCCCCAGCACTCCGGCCGCCTGCTAGCTCATGCCCGAAATAACAACACACAAATTGTATTCTTTTAAACACTGCTTGGCCCATTATATCTAGCCTCTTCTCGGCTAACTCTCGCACCTGGACTAGCCCATTTCTAATAATGTGTGTAAGCACCCCAAGGTGCGCTTACTGGGAAGATTCTAGCCTACGTCCATCCTGAGTCGGAGCTTCATCGCATGTGTCTCTGAGAGCAGAGCTAACTCGCATCTGTCTGAGGAGTCTTACCTCACTTCCTCTTCCTCCTTTTTACTCCTCCCACCTATGTTTTAACCTATCAGGGCAAGCAGTTTCTTTAATTAACCAATGAAATCAACAGATCGATATATGACACTCCCACATCACTAAACACCTGATTTTACAGAGAGATTCTTTATTAAGTGGAAAGAAAAGTTAAAGTGGCCTCTTTCTGACTCAGGCAGAAAAATAGCAACAAATCACCTTGCGGGTGTAATTTTTGGTTTTTGTTTTTTTCAATACAGGGTTTCTTTAGCTTTGGAGCCTGTCCTGGAACTAGCTCTTGTACACCAGGCTGGCCTCGAACTCACAGAGATCCGCCTGCCTTTGCCTCCCTAGTGCTAGGACTAAAGGCGTGTGCCACCACCACGTGGCACAGGTGTGGTGTAAGGGTTTTTGTTTGTCTATATGTTGCTTTCATTGGTTGAATAAAGAAACTGCCTTGGCCTTTTGATAGGGCAGCACTTAGGTAGGCGGAGTAGACAGAACTGAATGCTGGGAAGAAGGGCAGACAGCCGCCATGGAGATGCCAAATCAGACATGCAAAATTTCCCTGTAAGCGACGACCTTGTGGTAAACACAGATTATTAAAAATGGGTTAAATCAAGATGTGAGAGTTAGCTAATAAGAAGTTAGAAATAATGGGCCAGACAGTGTTTAAATAAATACAGTTTCTGTGTGATTATTTTGGGGGTTAAGCTAGCTGGGCAGCCCGGATGGCAAGCAGCCTGCTCCTCCTGTTACAGAGAGTCTGCGAGACATTCTACAGAATACAAAAAAAGTGACTAAACAGTTTTTAAAGTTTCCTGCTTCATGAAAAAGTCTGCTGGATACTCTGGGCCTGTAGGCTAAAGATGCCCCAATGGTACAAAAAAATTTTGGGTTGACTGTACAGGCAGCAAGATGTGTTTATCATTTCTAGAGTTTTAAAAGTTGCTTACAATGCATTTTCTGTTTACTTAGGTAATATTATCTCCTTCTAAAGTCTTTTATGGGGTTAAAAATAATAATTATGGTTTCCTTTGTTATGATAAAAGATAAAATAGATATAAATATTATAACTGTAATTCTTGCTTGATAAATGTTTTATGTAATTTTACTATGTTAAAGTAAAAGCCTTTTTGTTTAAACAAAAAGGGGTAAATGGTGTAGGACGTTGTTCTGTCTATATGTTGCTTTAATTGGTTGAATAAAGAAACTGCCTTGGCCTTTTGATAGGGTAGAACTTAGGTAGGCAGAGTAGACAGAACTGAATGCTGGGAAGAAGGGCAGAGTGGCAGAACACCATGGATCTTCTGCCTGGTACGGACGCTGGTTAGAATCTTGCTGGTAAGCCACAATTATGTGGCCATACACAGATTAATGAAAAATGGGTTAAATTAAGATGTAAGATTTCGCCAATAAGAAGTTAGAGCTAATGGGCCAGGCAGTGCTCCCTATGCAGGTGTAATTTTTAAGAGAAGAGGGGAGGTCTGTGTTAGAATGGGCTAGGATGTGGTGGTAAAGGAGATAGGGGACTAGGGAGAAGGGGAAAGGAACAAGGAAAAGGGGGCTAGGGTATTTGTCCTGGAGCATGGGGGGGGGGACAAAGGGCTGCTTCTGGATAGAGAAGAGACAGAACGTAAAAGGGGAAACCCGTGTTAGAAGGAGGTGTTTAATTTAAATTTGGCGTGTTAATTAGGTGAGCCAAGGCGGGGGGGGGGGGGAGGTTGCTTCTGATTGCTAGACTTCAATACTTTGATAGTTGGACCTTGCTAGTCAGCCTGGGGAAGAGAAATTGGCCAAATAAGGGAATAGACCTTTGTGGCTAGCTTTAGGAATGGAGAAGGGCAAGACCTGCCAGAGTCATGTGCTCGAGTGGGCTGTTGTCCCTTCACTTCTAGGGCACACTCTTCCTTGTATCCTGACAACGGCAAGACAGCATCTCTATTGCATCTTCTCTTACTGAAGCAAATTTCCACTGAGGAGCCATCAGTCCTGGCTGTCCTGGAACTTGCTCTGTAGACCAGGCTGACCTCGAACTGAAAGAGATCTGCCTGCCTCTGCCTCCTGGGTGCTGGGATTAAAGGGATGCACCACCACTGATTTCCTCAGACCGGGGAGTGAGCTTCTTTTAGAACATCTGAATCTTAAGCTTTCCTACTGTAGGACAGAATGCTTTATCTCAGAAGACAAGAGTACAAGTGCCTAACCCCAACCCTTACTACCTTTGCCAGGGAGTTTCAATGCTTGTCAGAAATTTCCCTCTATCTGTTCTCAAGCATACTGAGCAAGTGACAGTGTACTTATTCAATTTAACTGTTTTTAAGCACTGCCATGGACAGGCTGCTAATATTGTCAGTCAAGAATATGTTATATAGCCAGGCATGGTGGCACATGCCTTTAAACCCTGTGCTCTTAGAAGGCAGAGGCAGGTAGATCTCTGAGTTTGGGGCTACAGGGGTCTACAGAGGGAATCCCATGATAGGGCTACATGGAGAAACCTTGTCTCAAAAAAAGAATGTTATAAGGAATGAATGTTATAAGGAATGAAGTGCGTGCCACACAATCATGAGGACATGAATCTGGATTTGTTAGCACACATGTAAAGATTTAGATGTGGTAGCATGTGCTACCTACATTGGGTATCCTAGCATTGGGGAAACAAACAGTAGGCTCTCTGGCCAGCTATTCTTGCTGAGCTCCAGGGCATTGAAAGAACCTGCCTTAAAAGGAAGTTACATGGGGCTCAGCAAATAACACTGGCTGCTCTTCTGGAGCACTCAGCTTTAATTCCCAGCACCCACATGGAGGCTCACAACCCCTCTGTAACTCAGTTCCAAGAGCTCTGATGCCACCTGTTCTGGCCATTTCAGGCACTGCACACATGTGGTGCACATACATACATATGCAGGCAAAATGCCCATACACATAAAATAAAAATAGATGAAAAATATTTTTAAAAAAGGTGTAGAACAATAGAGGAAGATACTGACGTCTGATCTCCAAATGCGTGAATGTTTACGTGCATGTGCACCTCCTCCACACACAGGAGCATGTGCACCTCCTCCACACACAGGAGCATGTGCACATGCATATGCACACACACATACTACATACAAAAGTGTTTGAAAATGTTATCTAGTAAAGGATGTTTGGAAAAGTCACCTTGTCTCCCAAGACAGTAGTGATTATGGTACTGCTCACTGAGTTAATACATATTCACCTTGGTCACTGACACATAGTATGACTGTGGAGTCAGACTTGGTTAACCTACATACATGACCTTGATCATTAAAAAAAACCTTTTATCGATTCCTTGTAGGTTTCACATCATGCATTTTGATCCTGCTTATTTCCCCATCCTCTTGCATCTGTCCTCTGCCCTTGCAACATCCCCCATCCCAAATCAGAACCAAATTCAAAAGAAAACTAAACAAAAGAAACGAAACAAAAAGGAGACTCTTGTAGAAGCTGTAGTGTGGTTCAGTGAGTCACACAGTTTACCCTTTAGTCCATTCATCTTGTAAGTGTTCATTGCCATGAGTCATTGGTCTGACTTGGCCTCTGGCTCCTGCTAGACCGATAATGGGCTCTCACTGGGGCTCCTCTTGGATATCCTGTTGTCCTGTGTCATGGCGATCCTGCTGTTTTGTTTCTGTAGGCTTGTCCCCTTAACATGCTCCAACAGTTCAGAGATGAGGTGGATGTTGGGGGGTGCTAACTCATAGTCCTGGTGTTGGGCCTGGGCGGTAGCTGAATTGGTCAGCCTGCCAGTTTTCCATCATCAGCATTGCTCAGGCAAGCTCTCCAGCACTGCCTCAGCTAGTTCACCCAGTGCAACCTCCAGCAAGGGGTGGGGCCAGTTTTTTTGCTCTCAGGTCCTCAGATCTAGGTCCTCCACACTCATATCACCAGGGCCAGCTCTACTGTTAATCCCAGGCAAGGTGCGGGGGCCCTCCTGATTACTGTAGGGGAATGTGGGGGGTAAGGGTGGGGCAGCTTTCCTGCTCTCATTCTCGGTTCACTTGCACCCAGGACAACAGGGTCAGCTCTAGTGTGCTGCCCAGGTGAGGTGCATACCTGTGGTGAGGGGTGGGGAGCAAGCTCTACCCTGAGGAGCAGGGCCATTGTGCCTGCTGCATTGTCCAAGGAGGAACAGGACCAGTGAAGGGCGGGGCCGGCTCAGCACAGCATGGCTCCAAAGATCCCCGTGCTAACACGGGTACATGCCATGGTCTTCATCACAGACACCAGCCACAAAAGTACCAGGGACCCAGACACAGCCCTTGCAGCAGCTCGGGCCTAGATGCCACCACAGTCCTGATAGCACAGACCACCCAGATCAGCATGGTCCTCAGAAATCCACAGAGCCCTTGGTGGCAACAGGAGCCACAGACATCATCCCAGACCTGGGCTGCCATGGGGCCACAGACCCAGACATGGCACTAGGTAGTGGCCCATGCCTGGATATCTCCATGGCTCCAGGTGGCAGCACCAGCCACCCAGATCAGCATGGCCCTGCATGTGGCACATTGACCAATTTATTTTAACCTTTTTGTCTTTAATTTCCTTATATGCAAGATGAAGTAAATTCTAAGCTAAATTAATACTTGCATGGGGTAAAAAAAAAAGCTTCAAACAAGCTTTTAGAATTATTTTTGCTTTTTCATCTCTTTTAGGTCTTTGCAGTTGCACAATTTGCCAGTGTGTCAACTACACCTGTTCCATCAAGCACTGTGCAGTCCATACTGTAAAGTAAAAGACTCAAAGTAAGTTGAAGTTTGCTTTAAATTCTTTAAGGTGTTAAAGACTGGGTTACCAGACATTACAATTCCAGCAGATTGGACCTGAAAACAAAATATAGCTGGGACTCTGCTTATGCATCCACAGATGTGGTGTTTCTGCTACAGTGAGAGTGTGGTAGGGTTGGAGGAGTTGTAAATTTTGTGTTAGCTGCCCTTCTTGAGTCCCAGAAGAGCAATCCGTTTTCCTATAGGCTCCTATTGTCTAAGTTTCCTTTCAGTTTGGTCCTATGCTGGTCCATGCAGCTTGATGATCCATTTCTCTCCATCCATGTCCTATTCTATGCTTTATTATTCCTAAGATGTTCAGAGCATGGCTTCTCACTGCCCTGAACTTCTGTCCTCTCTCATTTGCAGGTACATTGCTCACATGCGTGTAGGCTTGCAGCCTGGCCACCTCCTGGAATCCCACCCCTTTGCTACAGAAACCAGTGTCCTCTTTTCCTCCCATTCCCGAGGAAGAAACAGCCTTTCCAAACCTGAGTGGGTAAATTGAGTTTTCTTTATTTTTTTTCATGAACATCATATTACTTTCAAAATATAGGTACATGAAGAAAAACCTTTTACTCAAACTTCCCTGTCCTCTATCTTATAGCCATATCACACTGACTTCTCTTCCCTCCCTGATACCTTGTTTGCTGAATGTCTTTCTAGACCTTCTCAATTCATACTGAAATATAAATTTTGTAAATATAAAGTTTTTAACATTTCTATGTAACATATATACCTAAGAACTTTTAAAAAACTTTTATTTTAACATAAAACAAAAATGATCCCTTTCATAGTACTGTTTTTCTTTTAATACCATTGACTATACCTCCTGTACAGGCATCCAGTACACAAGATCATTTTTTTCTCTTGCATTTAAAGCTTTTTCTGTTATCGCCTTAATAGCTCAAGTTTCTAATAATGGGTCTTCCTTTAAGACATCTGAGTCTTAAGGAGCTTTCCTGCAGGATGGAATGTTTTATCTCAGCAAATCTCTATGAAAGCACTGCCTTTACTAGAGTTTAAGCGCTTGTCAGATAGTTTACCCAAATATCTTTTCCCAAGCATGTTGGCTAAGTGACAAATAGCCCTCTCTTAATCGTGACTCTTACTTCTTCCCTTCACAACTTAGAGTCCTTGTAGAGAACTGGCTCTTGAACTGTGGGTCACGGCCCCTTTGGGGGGTCAAATGGCCCCTTTACAGTGGTCACCTAAGACCACTGGAAAGCACAGATATTTACATTACAATTCATGAGAGTAGTAAAATTATGGTTATAGAATAGCAACAGCAGTAATTTTCTGGTTGGAGGTCACTACAACATGAAGGACTGTATTAAAGGATCTCAGCATTAGGAAGGCTGAGAACCACTACTGTAGAAGTTCCCTTCACTCCTCAGTCCTGGAAGGTTGGTGTCACACCACCCTGAGTTTTCTTGAAGATCCAAAGTAAGCACCAGACCTAGTGGACATTTTTCAGCCAGCTTCAGCCTCTGTGTCCTTGTCTTTTGATTCTTTACCTGTTCGCATGGCTATGCACTTCATTGTCTGACAGGTTCCCAACTCAGGTTGTTTTTTTTTTTTTGCCCTCTAGTGGACATGTGGCACTATGCAGAAGCAGTTTTGGTGGTCAAAACTGAAGGGTTGGGAATGGATCATGCAGACAGGCTAGGAATCTGCTGAATGCCTTACAGTGCACAAGAACTCTTACCTCACAGCAAAGAACTGTTCAAATCCAGATGTCAAGTGCAATGAGGTTAGGAAACCCTAAAGTAGAGGGAGATAAACAAGCCCAAAAGATGTTCAAAACATTTCAGGGTGGAGATCTGGCCTCCAGCCCTGAAGATAACTGTACCGACACCAACAACAGACAACCCAAAGCCACATTTCTGCTATTACAGGTGTCCCGCGACACAACAGTTCCTTATTCTCCAGGTTCATAGTCTCTATAGATAGGCAGGAGTCTTCCAGTTGTATCTCAGTCTGGTCCAAGTCCAGTCCCTTCTGCCTGAGGACTAAGACAGGTAGTTCCTCTCAACACATTTCGTAGCCACAGAGGGGGAGAAACAGACTGATCTCCCTTCTACTCCTCACTCCCCCGACCTCCACCATTCCTCTCCTACTGGGATAAAGTTCTGTTGTACTTTATATTTTTGAATACACCAAGAACTTATTAAATCCTCATTCTCCTCCTTTAGCATGCTGCTGAACTGGAAGGGAGGGTCTCAGCAGATAGCACTGTGCTTGGCCCCTATAGACTAGCAAACCCTCTGTGCCTTATCAGTTGCTGACTCACCTTGGATTACTGGAGTTTCCTGTTCAGACCTGTCCATGGTTCTGCCCACTGGGGACTATGGAAGCGTTCTCTTAAGAGGCTGTACAGTCACAGAAGTCCTTGTTTGCATCTGGTGCTGATATAATCTCTAGGCTTTCAGAATTCTCAGAGGGGTGGCAAATCTCCACCAAGTTATTTTGAGTCAAGCATAAACCTGAGGTTAAGCCATCTCAGGCTTCATTGGATGGTTTTATTTCTTGTATTATTCTTCCAGAACTTGAGCATCCTATCCAGTTTATTCCTAGGAACGACTGCCAGAGGCTTGACCTTTTTCTTGTAATAAAATTCGCTCAGAACACAGGCATCCTACCAGTTCATTCCTGGAGACTTGAAATAAAGGAATCCTCACTGCTTGTTCTCCACCTCAACTCCCCTGCCAATTCCATTACGTTTCTTTAATGGTGCATTGTTTTGAAACTACTATTCTGAGCCAGGTTGTGGTAATGTCAACGCTTAGAAGTGGAGGCAGGAGGATCTGGAGCCAGTCATCCTCAGTTACTAGTAAGTTTGAGGCAAGTCTAGGCTACATTAGACCTTTTTTTTTTAAATCAAAGAAAAGTCAAAATATGAAAGAAAAAGTGCCTGACATGAGAATGAGCTACTTGCTGAGAACAAGCAGCTACTTATCTTAAAGAGAAGGGATTGAGGTAAAATGGTACCTTACATAACACAGTATCATAGAAATGAAAGGTAGCTGAGTTTTCTGTAGTTAGCTCATCAACTCCTCTGTATAGCTGTCAGCTCCTGGATGCTCTAGTATCTGGCTAAAACTGGAAAGCAGCTGGTTCTGTTCCCTACCTTAGCCAGGGCCAGCGATGGGCTGTGGCCTCCAGAATCACTGCCTATAACCCTGTCCCTGACTTCCAGGGATCCACTGGTTCTTTACCCAAAACTATCCTGAAATTGGATCTTCCCCTTCATATCCTTCAGCCTGAAATCTTTGGCTTAGAATGGATCAAATAACCTCTGGCTCCATCTTCTGAAGCCTAGGTAAGTAGAAAAAGTAGGGTCTTTTATATATTTAACTGTCTAGGCCCACCAGCCACTAGGGAGGGGCTATGCATACACAAACCCAAACACGCCCCCCCCCCCCCCCCCCCCCCCCCCCCCCCCCCCCCCCCCCCCCCAACACAGGTGAAGCAGTTCTGAGGTGTCAAATGCTAATGATCTGGAATGCAAAAAAAATCATCAAAACTTGTCCCTCCCACACCATCTGTACCCATCCCACGTTTCCCTCTTCCCATTCCCATGAACCCCCCCCCACTCCGTTCTCCTTTTCACACCTCTGAAAATTGATTTCCCTATGGTGACTTTTTGTTCTGTATCATGTTTCTGAACTCACTGAGGGCTCTGCAGCCGTATTCGCCTCCCTCAGTGGAAGCAGTTTTCACACTGTGAAAAATTCACATTTTTACACCAAGGACATTTCCAATTCCTAGGTCTCTGCCGTTGGGCTCCACTACTTTGGCTCTCTTTCGGGGGTTCTTGGAGGTATACTGTAGGGCCCTCAGTGTCAGACATATTCATATCAGTAGCCATGAAGTAGGGAGGCATCTGAGGTTCTGTGAGAATGCTTGGTGGCGGGGATGGGGTGGGCGTGACTGGGAAGGGGCTTTCGTATGAGTATGTGAATGAAGCAGGGAGTTGGACTGTAACAGATTGTGGGGAGGGTGTGGACCTGCGATCTAAGGGTCCAGAGTCAGAACATGTAAGTGTTTCAATAGATTTGCCGACTTCCCTTTCCTCCCCTTCCTCCTCCAAGCCCAAACCATAATCTTTCCAATCCGTAACTCCAAAATGACCCACCGTGCTTCCTCCCAGCTCTCCTGTGCCTTCCAGCTCCCCTGTGCCTTCCAGCTCTCCTGTGCCTTCCAGCTCTCCTGTGCCTCCCAGCTCTCCTGTGCCTCCCAGCTCCCCTGTGCCTCCCAGCTCCCCTGTGCCTCCCAGCTCCCCTGTGCCTTCCAGCTCCCCTGTGCCTTCCAGCTCCCCTGTGCCTTCCAGCTCCCCGGGAGCAGCCATGGCTACCTCCTTTTCTGGCTCACCCACTGCTTTATCACTAGCTGTCACCTCTTCTGTCTCTCCTGCATTTTGTGTCTCTGCTTTTGCCCCTCCAGCAGTAGCAGGGGCTCTAGTCGCGCCTGACATCTCTCCAACTGGAAAGGCCCTCAGCTCCTAGAGAGAAGTGGGAAGAGTTGAGCCATATTCCAGAAATGGGGAAAGGGCATAGGGGTGGCATAGGGTGGGGCTAAAACTGGGTTAGGAGGTAATCTTACTGCGTGTAGGAGCTTCAGTCTCATCAGGTCCAGCTCTCTCTGCACCTCCGCCAGTCTGGTATGGGCCAGTTGAAGCTGGAAGGCCGCCTCCCTGCGCTCCATCTCTTGCTGGTCTGAGAGCTTCTTCAGGTCTGATGCCAAGGCATGTGCCGCTGACCGGTGCAGGGAGGCAAAGTCGTGCAGCCACTGCACCCGGCGCCTTTGCAAGTGGCCTTGCCTCCAAGCAAAGCGAACACCCAGGGCCAGGCCGCCCCAGGCACAGGCTTCCTGAGCCTGGCTAGACATCTTGTTATCCTCCAGGAGGAGTCGGAGCTTTTCTTCCACCTCCTCCCAGGACAGGGACAGGTTCTCTTGGTAGAACGCAGCGCCTTCTGGTTGCTTGGACATTTGCTCATTGATGAACGTTAACACCTTCTCATGCCGGAACCCACTAGAGGGATCCTCGGGATTCATGATGGCTGATGGCTGAATGCCTTAGGGGCTTTGCGGGCTCTGTTAAGAACAGAACAGTCTGTTGTAGGTTTTTGATAGCACAACCTCTCCCCTTAAGCCTTAGCTCGGTACCCGCCAGCCAAGTTTATTTAAAAGTGACTCCTTGGAGGGCTTTCTATCTAGATAGGACACCCTCCCCAGACTCACTGCTCCCACTAGTGGCCAGAGGACTTACCGGTCCAACACACCTACCACAAGATCAGCCTGCTAACCAAAGAGGACAGCGGACAGCGACAGAACACAGCAAATCCCAGTCCTTCTCCTCAGGCAAACTGCCTCAGAATAAAGGTCTCGCTCCAGAGTAAAGGACTCGCGAGGAACAAGTCTCGTTCGACATCTCGCGACGTTTGCTTTTGGACTGTTCCAATTTCCAGGACAGGCGGGGGGGGGGAGGTGAGGGAGCGCCCCCTGTTCGTGCCAGAGACAATTGGGAACCAGCTGTTGTTAGTATTGAGGTCCCTTGAAGATAGAAAAAGTAGTTAAACAGACAAAAACTATAAATAAATACATAAATAAATAAAAATCTAAACAAGTTTCAAAAGTTGTACCCCCAAGTGTAATAGTTTGTCCCGTGCCTGAAAAAGCCCGCTCTTTTGTGTGGAATGTTCCAGAATTGGAACCGCCATCGGGCGCGCCAACCACAGGGGTTTTTCTGACGCAACTAAAGGGGTATAGTATGGGGGTAGCTCCATCCTCCATAGCCCACTATAATAATTTGCAGTCATTTCTTTTCTCCCAAACCAGACACCTCCAAGCCCCACCTGCTGCCGCTGCCGCCTCAAGCGCCACTTTATGTGGCGGTTCATAATCAGGACCCCTTCATTTCACTGCTGAAGCTCTCTGAGATTATGCAGAATTCACTCCTATCCTGTCATCAGATATGTGTGATATATCTGTTAAAATGCTCAGGGAAGGTGCTGGAGGAAGTCCATTAAGGGCACGGACTGCTCTTGCAGGTCGCTACCTCAATTCCCAGCACCCACATGGTATCTCACAACCTCAACTACGGGTGCTCTTTTTTGGTGTGCAGATGTACACAAAATACCCATAAGCATAAATGAATCTTAAACATTGGAAAAGAACGCTCAGTGACTTTCTGACGTTTATATGTCAGAAACCAAATCAGAGTGAGTACTGCTTTGCTTTTTTTTTTTCCCCCGCTTTTGATTTTTCAGCACAGGGTTTCTCTGTGTATCTGGAGCCTGTCCCAGAACTCACTTTGTAGACTAGGCTGGTTTCAAACTCATGGAGATTCACCTGCCTCTCCCCAAGTGCTGGGATTAAAGTCCAGTTTTGCTGTTTATTATATGACCTTCTTAACTGAATAGTAGTTTCTCTCTGTGGGCCTATGTTGAGGACCAAATGACAAAACTGCCTGTACAGTTGGTGGGTGTTTTCTATGATTTTTTTTGAGACAGAAATTCACTATGTATATGTAGACCATACTGGCTTTGAATTTACAGAGATGCGTCTGTGTCTGACTCCTAAGTGCTGGGATTAGAGGTGTATGCCCACCAATTGCCACTCTGGTTCTTTTTTACTGAAATGCATAAAGTAAGAATATACATAAATCCTTTTGCATATGTAAGAGAGAACTGAGGTGGCCTTACTTTTAACATTTGTTATTTCAGGGAGGTAGGCTCAAAGGGGCAGTCAAGGGAAAGTCAATTTCCTTTTAACTTTTAAAAATTCTCTGGTTTCATTTGTTTTAAAAAATAATAGGTTTAAGAACCTCTAACAGCCAGGCAGTGTGGCCCAGGCCTTTAATCTCAGCGCTTGGAAGGCAGAGGCAGGTGGATCTCTTGAGTTCATGGCCAGCCTAGGCTACAAGAGTTCCAGGACATCTTGGTCTATGTAGAGAGACTCTTGTCTTAAAAACAATTATAAAAAAAGCAAAAATCTGAAATATTATATGACATTCTAGTAGTAATTTTCTTTGGCATATTTTCAGTAGTAATTTTCAGTAGGAATATTGAGTTGTTTATGTGTTTTTGTTTCTGTGACAAGGACTCACTATGTAGCCCTGGCTAGCCTAAAATTTTTTTTTTTTGCTGACCAGGCTGACCTCAGATTCACAGAGATCAACCTGCCTCTGCCATGCTAGGAGTAAGTGTATGCATTACCAAGCATGGCTAGAACATTTTCTAAGTCAATTTTTTTATTGTTATAAAAATGTTTAGAGGCTGGAAGCACGAGTCAGTTGGTAACAGCAACTGCCACATAGATGGAGGACCAGAGTTTTGAATCCTCAAAATCTACACAAAGCCAGGTATGTCTAATCCCAGTCTTCTGGAGGGTAGAAGAAAGGCAGCAACAGGTGGCTCAGGAGCCAGCTAGCCTGGCTTTGTCAATAGCAAAATGAGAAGCAGCCAGCAGGTGGTGACACATCTTTAATTCCAGCAATCCCGGGAGGTAGAGGCAGGTGGATTTCTGTGAATTCAAGGCCAGCCTGATCTACAAAGTAAGTTCCAAGGACAGCCAGAAACCTTGTCTCAGAAAAAAAAAATGTAGTCTCGAGGAGGAATCCCTGAGGTTACACTCTAACCTACAGACAGACATACACAGCCATGACAAGCACATGCCCATAGCCACACACACACACACACCAATTTTTTAAAGTTTATGTGCTATAGTTCCCCAAATAAAGATAATTTTCCTGATACCATCAGATAATTGTAAATATTCTTTTAAAAATTATCAACATGTGTTCATTATGTAACGTAGGTTTATACACACACACACACACAAACAGTGGGGAGGAGATTGATCTCACATAAGAAAAATTTTAACATTTGTCTTTCTGACTGTGGCTAATTTTCTTAACATCATGATCTCCAGTTTTATCCATTTTCTTACAAATGACAAGATTTTTTTCTTTTTAAACTTTTTTGTGTATGGTATATATGAGTGTGTGTATGTATGTATGTATGTATGTATGTATGTATGTGAGTATACTTGCCTGTGCAGTTGCATTTAGAGTCCAGAGGCTAACATTGTGATAACTTTTGCAATCACATATCTACCTTATTGTTATTACATTTACTTATTTATTCATACACATGTGTTACAGTACTTATGTGGAAGTCAGAGGACAAGTTGTGGGAATGGATCTCTTCAGCAATGTGGGTCCTGGGTAGCAAACCCAGGCCATTATGCTTAGCAGCAAATGCCTTTACCCAGAGGTTTGTTTTCCCATCCCTACCTTTTTTTTTTCATAGTCTTTTTTTGCATAGCATATTTTAAAGGAAAACAATTAACAATTTATGTGCAGAGTTCAGTAAATACAGTGTACTCTTTCAGAGAAAATATTTTCTTTAAAATTTCTCTCTGTATATTTTAATAAATTTAATTTGCATCCCGACCACAGTTTCCCCTCCCTCCTCTCCTCCCAGTCCCTCCTTCATCCCCTTTTGTTCCTATCCCCCAATACACTCCTCTACCATTTCTGTTTAGGAAAGGGCAGGTCTCCCATGAGTATCAACAAAACATAGCATATCATGTTGTAGTAAGACTAAGTACCTCCCCATGTAGTAAAGCTAGGCAAGGTGACAGTATGAGGAGTAGGGTCCCAAAAGCCAGCAAAAGAGTCAGATACAACCCCTGTTCCCACTGTTTGGAGTTCCACCTACACAACTGTAACATATATGCAGAGAGCCTAGGTGAGTCCCATGTAGGCTCCCTGGTTGTCAGTTCAGTCTCTAAGGGTTTTTTTTTGTTGTTGTTGTTGAGACAGAGTTTTGCTGTAGTTTTGGAGCCTGTCCTGAAACTAGCTCTTGTAGACCAGGCTGGCCTCGAACTCACAGAGATCCACCTATCTCTGCCTCACAAGTGCTGGGATTAAAGGCATGTGCCACCACTGCCTGGCTAAGTCCTTTTGAGGTTAGTTGTTTCTGTGAGTTTTCTTGTGGTATCCTTGACCTCTCTGACTCCTCCACTCCTTCCTCCCTCTCTTGTGCAGGATTCTCCAGACTCCACCTAATTTTTGACTGGGTTTCCATCTGTTTCCATCAGTTGCTGGATGACTCCTCTCTGATGACAATTGGGCTAGGCACCAATCTGGTCACAGGAGATGGTCAGTTCAGGCTAGGTATCTGCTATCGCTAGGAGTCTAAACTGGGGTCGGTCTTGTACATTCCTGGGAGATTCCGTTTTTTCCAGGTTTTTACCTGACTCTGAAATGCCCCCTCAGCAGGCAGTAGTCACTCTGTCCCTCCATCCCTCCAACCTGATCATTCATGCTCCCACCCCCACCTACCCTCAGTCTATTCACAAAATCTCTATTTCCCCTTCCCAGGGAGATCTTGGTGTCCCTCCATTAACCGTCCTGGTTATTTAGTCTCTCTGGGTCTCTGGATTGTAGCATAGTTATCCTTTAATACCTAGCTAATATCTACTTATGGATGAGTATATACCATGTTTCTCTTTCTCCGTCTGGGTTAACTCAGGACAATTTTTCCTAGCTCCATCCTTTTGCCATCAGATTTCCTGCTGTCCTTGTTTTTAACATCTGAGTAGTACTCCATTGTGTAAATTTTACACGATTTTGGAAATCAGCCATATGTCTGATTTCAGGCTGATGAAGATGTTTTCCCATTCTGTAGGCTGCCATTTTGTTCTATTGACAGTGTACTTTGTCTTACAGAAACTTTTCAGTTACATGAGGTTCCATTTATTGTTGATTGCTGTGTCTGTGCTGATGTGTTACCTCCTGTGCTAATGCATTCGAGATTATTACCCACTTTCTCTTCTATCAGGTTCAGTATATTAGGACTTTTTCTTGAGGCCTTTGATCCACTTGGACTTGTATTTTGTTCAGGGTGATATAGATCCATTTGCTTTCTTTTGTAAGCAGAGACTGTTCATGCATTTCCCAGCCACCCAGACCCAAATAATAACACAGAAACTATACTAATTACAACACAGTTTGGCCAATAGCTTAAGCATATTTTTAACTGGCCCATACATTTTAAATTAATCCATAATTATTGTCTCTGTTAGACACATGACTTGGTACCTTTTATTAGTGAGGCATTCTCATCTTGCTTCCTCTGTCTGGGTGATAACAGCAAGCTGAGCCTTTTCTCGGAATTCTACTCTGGTCACCCTGCCTATACTTCCTGTCTGGCTACTGACCAATAAGTGTTTTATTATACCAATACAAGTGACAAATCTTTACAGGGTGCAAAAGCATTGTCCCATAGTACTCTTTGTTGTTTTTTATTTTGATTTTTAGAGACAGGGTTTTTCTGTGTAACAGCCCTGGCTGTCCTGGAACTCACTCTGCGGTCTAGCCTGGCCTTCAACTCACAGAGATCACCTGCCTCTTTCTCCTACGTGTTGGGATTAAAGGATTTGCTTTCTTCTACATGCCAATATCCAGTTAGACCAGCATCGTTTATTGTATATGCTTTATTTTTTTCATTGTATAATTTTGGCTTTTGGGTATCCATAGTTGGATAGATTTATGTCTGGATCTTCAGTTCAATTCCATTGATTCACCTGTCTGTTTTTATGCCCACATCATGAGGTTTGTATTACTGTAGCTCTGTAGTAGAGCTTGAAATCAGGGGTGGTGATACCTCCAGAAGTTCTTTTTTTTTTTTTTTTGTACAGGATTGTTTAGCTATTCTGATTTTTTTTTTCTATATGAAATTGAGTATTGTTCTTTTAAGGTCTGTAAAGAATTGTGTTGAGATTTTAGTGGGGATTTCATTGAATCTGTAGATTGCTTTTGGTAAAATGGCCATTTTTACCATTTTAATCCTACCAAGCCAGGTGGTGCTGGCATATGCCTTTAATCCCAGCACTTGGAAGACAGAGGCAGGCAGATCTCTGAGTTCAAGGCCAGCCTGGTTTACAAGAGTTAGCTCCAAAACAGGTCCAAAGCTACAGAGAAACCCTGTCTCAAAAAAAAAAAAAGAAAGAAAGAAAATATTTTGAAAATGGATATTCCAATAATTTAGAAAACTAGAACAAACAGATAAATTCCTAGACAAACTGACTTATTAAAACCAAAACAAAGAGGTAATAAACAATTCAAACATATCTATAATGGGCATAAAAATTCAATTTGGCAAAACAAAAATTTCCCAGGATTGACAGTTTCACTGCTGAATTCTATTAGACCTTGCTCTTCAAACTATTTTTTAAATTTATTTTTATTTATGTGCACATGTGTATACCTGCTTGCATGCATGAGTGCCATATGTCCACAAATATCCCCAGAAGCCAGAAGATGGTCTCAGATCCTTGGGGCTAGAGTTAGCACACAGTTGTGAGGTACTAGATATGGGTGCTAGGAACCAAACAGTGCCCTCTATAAGAACAGCAAGACTCATTAACTATTGATCCATCTCTCTGGTCACATCTTCAAACCATCTTAAAAAATATAAAATAACATTATCAACTTTATTCTACAATGTCAATATTATCTTGATATTAAAAGCTGATAACAGCAAAAGACCATTTTCTCTCATGGAAATAGATGTAAAAATCCTCAGTAAAATACTTTTTACCCGTAATGAGCAATACATTAAAAAAAAATTAACCACCACTGCCCAGCGTTCAAAATATCTCTTAAAGATTCTCTGTATTTTCTTGGTATCTTTTTAAAATGCCCACTTTCATACTCAATTTTATTGAGTCTTTTACCTTTTTTAGTTTTTAAGCATGCCAATTTTGTCTATTTTTAAAGGAACCAATTATAGTCTTCATTATTTTCCAAACTGATGTGTACTATTTTCTTTATTTTGATTTGGTTTAATTTTGCTTTTCTAAGAACTTGAGGTACATCGTTATATTGTTTGTGCCTGATTTTTCTAGTTTTCTTTTATTAAAAATAGACCTTTTTCATACAATTTATTGATTACTGTTTTTCCTCCCAGAACTCCTCAACTCCTTCCCACCTCCCCTCCCATCTGAATCCTCACCCCTCTTTTCTTAGAAAACAGAATGATAATAAACAAAATGAAATAAGATAAATTATACCTGAAGATAACAAAATAAACAAATGAAAAAAAAAAGAGAAAGCATAAGAAACACATATAGGGCTGGAGAGATGGCTCAGAGGTAAGAGCACTGACTTTCCTTTCAGAGGTCCTGAGTCCAATTCCCAGCAACCACATGGTGGCTCACACCATCTGTAATGAGATTTGGTGCTCTCTTTGCAGGCACACATGCAGCCAGAACACTGTATACATAATAAATAAATCTTACAAAAAGAAACATATAGATGTAGAGATACACAGGTTAACATCCACAGGAATCTCATAAAAGCACTAAACCAGAAGCCATAATACGCATGCATACACACACACACACACACACACACACACACACACACACACGCACACGATATTATGAGACAGAGGATGTTGGTGATCAATTACTGGGTATGGGGGCTGGCTTTAAGAGTGGTTTGTATCCCCAGTGAGAACTAATTTTTCATTTTTGAGTGGTTATCAGTTGGATAGCTTCTGGGTTAGGGATATGGGGGTTTATGTCCAAGTTTTCGCTGAGCTCTGAGACTGAATCTGGTGCAGATCTGTGCATGCCCTATTCATGCTTTTATAGTCTTTGTGAGTTCATGTCTGCATCTTGGTCATGCTATGTTTAGCTCTTGTCTCTTGGATGTTCCCTGTACTCTCTGGCTCTTGCAATCTTTCAGTCTCCTCTGCTGCAGGTTCCCTGAGCCCTGAGGGAGGGATTTAATCGATTGGTTTAGGACTGGATGAGTGTTTCAAGGTCTCACTCTCTGCACACCTGGCTCTGGGTCTCTGTATTTGTTCCCATCTACTGCAGGGGAAAGCTTCTCTGATGTTGGCTGAGCAAAGCACTGATCTATGGGTATAGCAGAATGTCATTAGAAGTCATTTTATGGCTACATGAGTTCCCATGGGGCCAACTTGATTAGATATAACCAAATCCGCATACTGGAAGCTTCATTTGGTGACAGGCTGTGTATGTTTTCCCCATCATTTGGCTAATTCATTTGGATCGCCCTTCATAATATGTATTTATTTTGGTAAGTTTTTACTATATTAGAATTCCATACGAGTGAAATGCCCCTTAATTTTAACTGTCTCTCCCTGTATTTCCTCCCACAATACCCCTCTCCTCCTCCTTCCCACTTGATCCTCTCACTTCTACCCCTCCCCATCTATGCATATTTTCTATTTTCCTTTCTTTATGAGATCTATCTATTCCCTCCAGTTACTTACTCTCTGCCCACCCTTCTATGGATTGTAGCTTGGTTATTATTGCCTTCATAGCTAATATCTACATAGAAGCAAATACATACCATATTTATCTTTATGAGTCTAGAATACCTCAGTGTGATTTTTTTCTAGTTTCATCCATTTCCTACACATTTCACAATGTCACTTTTCAATGTATAAAATGTATAAAATTATACATGGTATAAATGTACCACATTTTCCTTATTCATGTTTCTGTTGAGAGGCATCTAGGTTGTTTCAAATTTCGGACTATTCTGAATAACACAGCAATGAACATGATTGAGCAAGTGTCTTTGTGGTAGGATAAAACATCCTTTGGGTATATGCTGGAGTGGTGTAGCTGGGTCTTGAGGTAAAGACTGATTCCCAGCTTCCTGAGGAACTGCCACACTGATTTCTGTAATGGTTGTATGAGTTTGCACTCCCAAGTCGTGTTTCTTGGATGCAGCCCAAAGGATGGCTCCTGTTTTTACATCCTTTCTGTTACTTTATATCTTTTTAGTGGGGTATTGAGACCAAGGATTGTTGATTCCTGCCATTTTGCTGTTTCTGGGGGAGACCACCAAGGCCATCAGAGGGCTGATGCATGTACGGTAAGAAGGAAGTCCAGTTAAACACTACTCAGTAGCCGTATTGATTCAGACAGCTGGAGTCTCTCACCAGGTAGTTTATTTCAGGCATATTTAAGCACAACACAATCTGGAAAAAAATGTTTCGTGGTGATAATTAACCCAATCCCATGTGCACAACAAAGCTTAAGACGTGATTACATTGAAACTCTTTGTAAAGTATGCTTGACCTCTTCCATAAAGATGAGTTCTATAGATTGACTGCATATGACATTTAGCAGATGAATCTGGTGTGATTTCTCCATCATAAAGACAGTGCGACACCAGGCTGTAAACCATCTGAGCTTCTGTTTTTAAAGAATATATAATGTCTCCTGAAAAGGTGAGTTTTATAGATTGAGAAATAATGATCAAGATAAGAATCTGAGGAGAAGGATGGAGGGGGATGCAGGTGTGGCCTGGCAATACAGATAGCACCGAGGTCACCAGGCCACATAGCATCCATTCTCAGCTTTCTGGGTGGAAAACAGGTGATACATATAATCCTTTGAGGAGACAACTGTGCATGCAAACCATTGCTGGTTGACGCGGTGCTCATCTGGGAGCCCAAGGACCTCTGTGTGCCTTACCTACAGTCCTTGTTGTGTGTATTTCCTTTCTCTGGACTTTGCTGGTCATGAATTATTCCCTGGGTTTTCATGGATATGTTAACCTCCTTGGGTTGTAGTTTGCCTTCTAGCACCTTCTGTAGGGCTGGATTGGTAGACAGATACTGCTTAAATTTGGTTTTGTCATGGAATGTGTGTTATTTTTCTCCGTCTTTGGTGATTGAAAGTTTTGCTGAGTGTAGTAGCGTGGTTTCTTGGAGTCTGCAGAAATATGTCCGGGCCATTCTGGCTTTAAGGTGTCCATTGAGAAGTCAGATCTTATTCTAATAGGTCTGTCTTTATATATTACTTGGTCTTTTTCCCTTGTAGCTTTTAATATTCTTTCTTTGTTCTGTACATTTAGTGTTTTGATTATTATGTGTCAAGGTGATTTTCTTTTCTGTACCAATCTATTTGGTTTTCATTATGCTTCCTGTACTTTGATAAGTATCTCCTTTAGGTTAAAGAAATTTCTGATTTTGTTGAAATATTTTCTGTGCCTTTGACCTGTGTTTCTTCTTCTTCCTCTATTACTATTATTCTTAGGTTTGTTCTTTTCATAGTGTCCCATATTTTCTATCTATTTTATGCCAGAAGTTTTTATATTTAACATTTTCTTTGACAAATCCATTTATTCTTTTACTATGTATTTGATGCCTGAGATTGTCTTCCATCCTTTGTAGTCTGGGGGTGAAGCTTACTTCTGTGGATCTTGTCTGAATTCCTAAATTTTTCATTTCCAGCTTTCTGTCAGTTTGAGTTTTCTTTATTGATTCTATTTCAACTTTCAGGTCACAGTTTTGTTTCCATCAGCTGCTTGTGTTTTTATAGGTTTCCTTTTGGGATTTATTTATTTCTTTTAAGGATATTTATCATATTCAAAGAGGCTGTTTTAAGGTCCTTTTTCTTGTGTTTCAGCTATGTTGGAATATTCAGCGCCTGTTGAGGTAGGGTTGTTTGGAGACATATTGTCCTGGCTGTTATTGTGTTTTTATGCTCGCATCTAGGCATCTGGGATTTGGAAGATTAATTCTAGGTGCTGATATCTGGTCTTGTCTTTGTTGGGTGGATTTTTTTTTCTTGGTTTCTGTTTCCTCTCTTGTTCTTAGAAGAGTGTGGTGACTGTGTGTTGTCTGGGAGGAAAATTTTCTGGTTGGTCCTGATTGGTGTGAGGACTGGGGATTTGAGATAAAAATGTGTTTCTGGGTATTGGGACCTGACACTTAGGAATGAGGATGGACTGGGGATGGTAGAGGACCTTCACAGGAGGGAAGAAAGAAGAATGTTCCATCAGAATCTGCTTAGTTATTCCCATGGGAATGGGAGCAGAAAGTAAGGAGGGGTCACAGCAAGTCTTCTACAGAGCTGCCCTGAGACTGGGGGATTGAGCTTGGAGGAGTGGAGGGAGAGAAGATCTGCAGTTAGCCTCTCTGCTTCCCTGGTCAGAGTGGCCTGGCAGTTCCTAAGAGCTGGGACAAAGCAATGGGTCAGGGGAAAGGAAGTTTGGCAGGGAATATCATTGTGATCCCCTAGAGATGGGAATAGGAGGAGAAAGGAGGCTGTGATACGTGTTCTGTTGCAGAGCTGGGGGTGAGAGTAGGGATTGGATTTGGAGAAGCAGAGGGAGAGGTGAAGATCTGCTGCCATCAGCCCACCCATTTTCCTGACTGAAGTGGACTGTCGCTTCCCAGGGAGTGCCTGCTGCAGTTGGGGGCTGGGATGATACAAGAGTTGGGAGAGAGGGAGGTTAGGAGGGGAAGATATGTGGGATCCACTGGAGGTTGGTGTCTGGGAGGCTGCCACAGGTTTTCTACTGTACAGCTGGGGATGAGACTGGGGGATTGCATCTCACGAAGCAGAGGGAAAGGAGGAGACCTGCAGTCAACCTACAATAGCTGCTGCTTTCAGCAGGGATTGCACAATGACTGAGTTCTTTATTCAAGCACTCATAACTACAAACTCCCCTCTTAGAACTTCTTGTATTCTGTTCTAAAAATTTGAATAAACTGTGTTTTTACTTTTTGAATATAGGATTTTTAAATATATTTCTGTGGTAGCCCACATGTGACTCAGTTTCCACCTGGAGTCCATTCTGACTTAAAACTCAATTGAGTTCAAGCTTGCCTTCTCTGCCTGCCTCCTTGAGGGCTGTGAGAAAGTTCTGATTAAGCCCGTGGGAAAGAACACATTATCTACTAAGACACAAACTTGGTGTACAGCCGAGGGCACATCCAGACAGAAGAATAAGACTGCTTGCCCAAGGACAGAGTAGTCTTGTGGTTAGATACTGACTGACTGCTGTGCTTTGTTCTGCTTTTGTGTCTAAGCAGGCTCTGGAATAAACTCAGGGCTGATTTGGTATTTACCAACACACCTCCTGGATCTATCCTGTATTTTCTTTCTGCTTCTTTCATCTGACATTTCCTTAGCCTTAGTGCCCCCACCCCTGACTTCAGGTACCCTAGCAGACTTTGTTGGAGCAGGCTCATACATACTTCTTGATTTCTTCAATGATCATTCCAGAGTGTTGCTTAATCTACATGTTTGCATATTTTAGGTAGTTTCTCTTGCTATTGAGTTGTAGTTTAATTTCATTATGACCTGATGAAATTAAAGAAGATATTTCTTTTCTATTTGTTTTGTGGCCTAGAATGTGTTTTTTTAAGAGAAGGATCCATTTGATGCTGAGAAGCATGTGTATCGTAGAGCTGTTGCTTACATTGTCCTATAGATGTTGGTTAAGTCCCTTTCTTCTGTGGTGCAGTGTAACTCTGGAGTTTCACTGAATCTGAGTGGTTTGTCTATTAAAAATGAGATAGACCATTGTCTATTAAGGACAGTAGATATAGAAATCATAGACTATTATTGAGTCTGGAACTATTTTTCCTTCTGTCAAGTAGTGTTTTATGAAATTGAACGTACCCCTCATTATAATATGTAGTGATCATATTGTTTTCTAACTTTTGCCTAAGACTACTTTATTAGAACTATAGTTACTCCTGCTTGCTTTCAGCATTCACTTGCTGAATTTATACATGCTTTTCCATCCTTTTGCTTTACTGTCTTTACCAGTGAGCTGGTACATTTGGATCTTGATTTTTAAATTTATTCAAGTAGTCTGTGTTTTCTAAGCAGAGATTAAGATATTTACATTTAGGAATATTACTGAGAGATATGTGCTGGTTCCTTTTTATATTATTTGCCTTTGTTTAATTAAACCTTTATATTTTTCATGTGTATGGGTGTTTTGCCTGCATGTTTGTCTTGGGGCACTATGTGTATGCCATATTAGCAGAGGCCACAAAGAACTGGGATTACAGTTGCTTGTTTGATACCATGTAGGTGCTGGGAATCAAACCTGGGTACTCTGAAAGAGTAGTCAGTACTTGTAAGCTCTCTACCATCTCTCCATCTCCAATTCCTGATACTCTTTCTTGAGCTGCTTGGTCTGGTCTACTGATGGTATTATTCACGGTTTTTCATTGTTGTTTGTTTTTATTGGACATATTGAGTTTCGTTTCCATTAGTTTTTTTTTCTTTTCCTAATTTCAATTTCCTTGATGAATTTCCTCGCCAGGCCCTGAATTGATTTTACTTACTTCATTTATCAGTTTGCTTGAATCTTTTTTAAATTCTTTGATCACTTTTTTTCCATGAGACTTCTGAGTTCTTTGCTGACATTCCAGCCATTTCAGAATGTTTAGATTCTGTTGTTGAGAAGTTGCAGTCTTTTGGAGGAGTCATTTTACCTTGTTTATTTTGGGGGAGGGGCGGGGAGGAGATTTGGGTTTCTGAGTTGTAACTTGCACAGGTGTTTCTTCTCATTTGATTTAGGATCTTATTGAGCGCCGTTTTCTTGAAGGTGTCCCTGCTCAGGAATGGTCACAGAGGAGAAAACAAATTGATATTACAGCACAATACTAAACCAATCCAGATACAGAAATACTATTAAAATTAATTAAAGCCAACTGCTGTACCACCAATAACTATGTACAAACAAATGGTAACAAGAATGTAGTATAAGTGTCTTAGTTGTGTTACTATTACTGTGAAGAGATGTAAGGAGCAAGGCAACTCTTTCAAAAAACGCATTTAATTGGGGACTTGCTTCAAGCAGACCGGCATGGCCCTGGAACTTTATATCCTGATCCACAGGCAGCAGGCAGAGAGAGACGTGGGTTTCAAAAGCTCGCACCCAGTGACATATCTCTTCCAAGGAGGACGTACCACCTTCAATAAGGACACACCTCTTAATCCTCAAACAGTTCACCAGCCGGCAGCTAAGCATGTAAATAAACGAGCCCATTGGAGCCATTTTCATTAAACCACCACAGTAAGTTACAAAGTTAGAAATTAAATAAAGTAATTGTAATGATA